CCCCCCCCCCATATCTACAATTTTGGCTGGATCCGCCCTTGGATACCTCTATATAGACCCCTTGCAGCACACTAGAATGCAGCTCAATCTGGGGGACAAATCAATAGGTTCCAATTCCCAGGAGATTGGAATTCTTTTGTTTTGTCCCCCAGAACAATCTGCTTTGGCATCACATGCAATGGGTCTATTATGAACAGATATCTAGGTCCAACCAAACCATAATACATTGTTTGTTTCATTGACCCGACCTCTATATCAAGGACACCTTTGGTAAAAAACTTTTTCTAACCCTGCGGTTCCACTATACCAGGAAAATTATCAAACTGACATTTTGTCCAGCTCCAACTCCTAGACAAAGCCAGGTCAAATCAAAGCACTATGTTCCCTCTAATATATAGGTAGAGCTGGTACCAGAAGGAACTGTAAGCCTGACCAAGGAACAATACCATTCTCAAATTACCGTGGTTTAAAAAAATTCTGATTCGGTTCTACTTGGGTATGTTTTCCTATTTCAAAACAAATGACCCCTTGGGAATAGCATTGTTTGTTGCATATTACTTTCCCATTTCAGACCATGTGTTATTATTCCCTAGAGTATCATTTCTTTGTATAACGATTGCATATGAAAATATAGGGGAATATAGCTAGAGTGCATACCATAAAACCATGAAAATTTTGTATGAAATTTCACAAATTTGCACAAATTGGTAAGTTCAGTAGACCTCAGTAGAGTTCATACCATATATAATCGAGAAAAAGTTAACAAAATTGTACAAATTAGTGCAAAGTTTTGTAGGTCTATGGTCTTCCAAGGTCTACTGAACTTACTAATTTGTGCAATTTCTTACAAGGTTTTTCAGGAATATTTAAGCAATAGAAAACTTTTTCCGTGTTTACATAGCCTGATAGCAACATGATTCGAGACAGTTATGCAAACCYGAGACGTAGTCGAGGGTTTGCATAACTGTCGAGAATTCTCCCAACCCCCCGAGTGTTGCTATCAGGCTATGTAAACACAGAGAAAAATGTTTTCTATTGCTTTTATAAAATAAATACTAAGGGAAAACACTACCACTTGCAAGAAAATAAATCTCTATTTGAATTTGATTCTCATATCAAAATACAAATTCTCCATACATCACGAACTTCGATCATTAGCCAATCAAATTTCGTGTAATAAACGCCAAGGAGGCAAATGTGAAGCGAGAAAGAATCGCTATAGCTATTTTAAATATTTATCATTCTAAAACTTTAAAACAAATACAAAGAAATGTCCAAAGATTGAATAGAAATATTAATAAAAGATTTCAGAATTGATTATC